CTCCTCCTTCTCCTCCTCCTCCTCCTCCGTCCTCCTCCTCCCTCGTCCTCCTCAGGGTCACCGGCAAGTGGCAGGGGCAACACCGGCAGGCCCGCGCAGCACCTGCCCTGGAGGCCGGGAGCTCTGCGCCGTGCCCTGTGTAGGGGCTCGCGGCACGAACCTTGCCGGCGCGTAAGCGGGCCCTTAGTGGGCCCTGGAAACGACAGGGCCGTGTTTTTACCGGTTCCGTTTTTCCGTTTTTGTTGCCAGTTCCGACGCGGTTGTTTTACCGGTTCCGTCGCCGTTTTTTGACCGGTTCCTGCTCCGGTTCCAATCCTGAAGCCGTTTTTTGCCGTTTTCGGTCGCCGTGTTTTTGCCGCTTCCGTATTTAAGGGGCACTTTTTTGGAAACGGTGAAAAAACGGCCCTGCCGTTTCCGGGGCCCAACGGGCCTCGCCTGCGGCGTCGTCGCTGTCGTTGCGCGCTTGGCGGTCCTCCGGCCTCACGCAGGGAACACCACCACGCGCCATCGCTCGGACGTCCATAGACTGTGCTTCTTTCGGCTTCGTGCGGGGCTTTCTCGCCGGGTGATCAAGGATGCTCCTCGACTGTCCTCGCCGAAGGAAAAATGCACACGTCCGAGCTATGCCAAGACCACCGCCTCGTCCTCAGCCTCCCCCGCCTCCCTCGTCGCCCCCCTTGCCCAAGACATGCTGTGGCGGCCCTGGTGCCCCACCAGGCAAGGCTCCCGAATGGCCGGCAGCTGGAGCCACTACTCCCTCTTCCTCCCTTCTTCGCCCTCCCTCCCTACCCGCTTCTGCCTCCTCCATCCCGACGCGTCCCTCTTCCCAATCCCATCCACGTCCTCACCGCTCCGCCCTCCTCGCTCCTCCACCTCCTGCTCTCTTCGCATCCCCCTGCAGCCTCCACACCGTTTGGGAGGGAGATCTCCTGCGGACAAGGCTCTCTGCGTATCCAGCTCATCCGCAGCACCTCTGGTGTGGTGGAGCAGGCCTCGCCGAGGCCCCGCGAGCGTCAGGAGACCACGCAGCCGTCTGACAGGTCCTGCTGGCAGGCAGAAGCTCGGGGTCGAATTCTGACGGGGGAGACGAGCAGAAGACAGAGCCTCGAAGGGTCGGAAGGTGAACGCACAAACCACTGGGCGTCTGAAATAAACGCATGCTGTCGAGGAGGGGGGAGGAAGAGAGGAGGGCAAGGAGGCAAGCGGGGAGGAGGAGGAGGCGGAGGAGGAAGAGGGAAGAGAGCGGAAGAAGGAGAGGGACGGGGGGGGACAGAGAGGGAAGCCAGCGAGGCGCGAGAGAGATTGGTGCCACGCACGCCAGGAAGGCAACGGCGAGCTAGTCGGCGAGAGGCGACCCGCCAGCCTCGTCGCCGTCCGCCACTCTCGCCGCTTTCCGCTCCAAGCTGGCCGCGTCCCCCGGTAAGGGCTCCGTGCTCCCGCCGGCGTAGCGGCGTGCAGTCATCGTGCTGCCATGAGCGGGCGGCGAGGAAGCGAGGGTCTTCTCTTAGGGAGCAGGCAACCCATCCCCACAGTGAGCACCCCGACAGGCGAAGCCGTCCAGTGAACGCACCCGAAGGAGGGAGCCGAACCGGGTGAGGGCGATTTAGCAAACGCCCAGGGCCGTTCGCAAATGAGGAAGAGGAGGAGGAGGAGGAGGAGGAGGAGGAGGAGGAGGAGGAGGAGGAGGAGGAGGTGGAGGAGGAGGAGGAGGAGGAGGAGGGGGGGGAGGAGGAGGAGGAGGAGGAGGAGTTGGAGGAGTTGGAGGAGTTGGAGGAGGAGGAGGAGGAGGAGGAGGAGGAGGAGGAGGAGGTGGAGGAGGAGGAGGAGGAGAGGAGGAGGAGGAGGGAGGAGAGGAGCAGGAGGAGGAGGAGGAGGAGGAGGAGGAGGAGGGGGGTGGCTTTTCCTTCCTCGACGTCTGGCCACGGCGAACCCCGCCCACGAGCAGGCTCCCCGACCTGGACCCGGGGAGCGGCCCGAGAGCCCTGGCCGCCCAGCCCGAGCCCGAGGCGGTCTCGGCGCCGATTCGGCGATGGCTCGTCGCCTGCCGGACGCTGCTCGACGCCGGTGCACTCTACACAAACGGAGCTACGAAGGTACACAAGGCTCCCGCCACTTGCTACCGAACGCCCGGCCCCGGCGAGAGCTCAGGGAGCTGGAGTGAGACCGCCGCGCGCGGAACGGCGCGCTGGGCTCTGGAGTCCGCCGCGTGCTGAAACGACGCTGCAAAATGACTCGTGATACGCGGGGCAGCCGAATCCCTACTCCATATGGATATCTCCACGCGGTGGCTGGCACAACCTCTCAGCGGGCTCGCCCCAAGCACGAAGGATCAGAGGAATCGGGCCACGGGTGTGAGACCGCTTGGCCGCGGGTCTGCTGCGAACACGTCGTCCCACAAGCTCTCAGGCTCAGCGAGAGGAGCGAGGGCCGACGACGGAAACGCAACAGCCTGCCATACAAGTTCACTCAACTGCAACGCTGGCATGATGGCCTCACGCACGGTAGACTGCAGGGCGAATTCGGTTCGCAAACCCACCCCTCGCGTAAGAGGAATCTGGAAGCAAACCGCCTGCCTCCGAAACTACAACATCTCCGTGTCGTCCACACCATCGCCCTCCACACCGAACTGACCAAATACCTTGATGCCAATCGTGTAGACACGACCTCCGCGGGCGTCACAATTTCTAAATCGACGTACTCAACCGCTGGAAATTCGCATCGCACTGACGACCAAGCGGACCCGCACGTTCTTCCTGCCACGGACGCCGGCACAAAACCGCTGTCGGACAGCCGTGATGTCAAGGTCAGGTACCGACGTTGGCCTTATCATCAGCGGCTAGACCCAGCTGCTGCACCACTTGCTCGCCCAACTTGGTGCATATGGCCACCACGAACACCTTGTCATGCAATGTCTCCTCAAGACGGTGCGCCGTGACATAAATTCGAGACCCGCCTGCGCTGCAGCATTACGGGGGAAGGGGAGATGGATAAGGACGCGGAGGACGAGCGGGAGGAAGGATGAGGAGGGGCAGGAGAAGGGGACGGGGGGAGGAGCGGGAGAAGGATGAGGGTATGGACGAATAACAACGAGGGACGGCTGGGGGACAAGGGGGAGGGAGGGAGGACAGGGAGCGGGGGAAGCTGTGAAACGCAGTGCGGGGAGTGACCTCCGCCATCCCGCTCCGTCATCCCCCCTCCTCCTCCCCCTACTCCTCCTCGAACTCCCCACGTCTTAGTCTTCCTACCCCTTCTCCGCCTCCTCCTCCTCCTGTCCTTCTTTCTGTTCTCTCTCTCTCTCTCTACATATCCTGCCGCGTCGTCGTCGTCGTCCTCCTCCTCCTTCTTCCCCTCCTCTCCCTCCCGCCCTCCTCTCCTCCCCTCTACCCACTCCTACCCCACCCTTCCTCCTCCTCCTCCTCCTCCTCCTCCTCCTCCTTCTCCTCCTCATCCTCCTCCTCCTCCTCCTCCCCTTCCTTCTTCTCTCCCTCCTCCGGCACCATCGCTCGTGATGCTCATCTGCATCCTGGCACCCCCCCCCCCCCGGGGCCTGCCACTCCTGCAAGCTCATGCTGAGAGCCCAGTTGGGTGCCCCTCCGTACTCTGCCCCGCCCCCCCCCCCCCCCCCTCCTCTCATCCCTCCCCCCTCCCTCCCCACATCTTCCCCCCCGCCCCAGCATGCTGATATGGTGCATCACAGGTGTTGTAATGACTATTGTTCTCACAACCGGTATGAATAAGCAACAACTTTTGTATGACAACCACTGGTCATACAAATGTGTGTTGTTCCATATCCACGTCTTCCCGTCTTCCCCCCTCTCATTCTCTCCCAGCCTCTTTTTACCCAACCCTTCCTGATCTCTCCCCCCCTCTTGCCGCCTAGACCGTGTGCTGGATTCCGCGTCCCCTTTCGGCAACCCGCAAACATCCCCCCCAGTGCCCCTACTCCGTCTCCGTTGTCATTCCTCTACCCCGCCCCCCCTCCCCTCCTTCTCGCCCCCTCCCCATCCCCCAGCCGACTGCCGCGCCGTGCGGACGGTAAAAATCAGCACGCTCGGCCTGAGATGCGCGACGCGTGAGCTTTGGTGGATGGAGAGTGCAGTCATCCAAGCAACAACGCGGGAGAGAAGGTCGGCCAATCCTCGCATCCTCGACCAAAGGTCCCAAACCGCGTCAGAGGGCCTCTCGACGGCCCAAGACGACCTCAAGGTATCCCCACGAAAGGCGCAAAAGACCCCAGACGGCCAACAGGACCCCAAGAAGGCCCAATAGAGACCCAATACGGCCCAAGAAACCCCCAAGACGATCCAAAGTGGCCCAAGGGACCCGCAAGACTGCCCCATGGGAGCCCGAGAAAGGACGGGGAGGAAGAAAGACGAAGAAGACGAGAAGAGAACCCCGACACAATGCAGTCGGCTGGATCATCGACCTGACAAGACATGACTGCCTATTACAGGATCCGCGAAGTGTCGACCCCAGCGTTGGTTCCTGACACCGCGGGGATCGCTCAACCTTGAACGGTCAGCCATTTTCGAAACGTCAGATCGTTCAACATCGACCGATTCTGGATCACTGGCGACGTTCAACGTTGAACGCTGGCGGCGGCGTCGCCGCCGGTCGACACGACACGAACCCACCGTGCGAACAGACGAGGCCAAGCCAGCTCGAAGCACGGCAAAGACCAATCAGAACAGACGAGGGGAGAGGGACTCACCCGTGCTCTAGGTAGGACAGGCCGAAGCCCCAAGAATGCCCAGCGATCGCGCGCGCTCCGCGAACTCAGTCTTTCACTCTTGCTGCCGCCCCAAGGGGTCGGCGGTGCGGCGTAAGCCAATTAATCAGAACAGGCAAGGGGAGAGGGAAACGCCCGTGCTTGTCCGCAGATCAGGTCCCCCGTGGACCGCGGGCACCTCGGTGGCCACAATTGGAAAAGCAGCCGGGAAAGGAATGAGTGAAGGGGCCCTGGGGCACACAAGTACACACACACACACACAAAAAAAACAGGATTCCTCATACTTTCCCATATCTTATGTGTTCTTGCTTTCCCCTCCACTTCCCATCTTTTCCTAGAACTTCTGGGGAATCGACGATTAATTTTGTCTGTGTGTGTTCTTTCCCTCCTGAATGAGTGGGCAACGAGGATAAAGGAGGGCTGCTGAAACAAGGAACGCTAGATCAGGAACGCCCTTCCGGCGCCAACAACGCCCGGGTGCACGAGGAGGGCTAGAGGAACAACCGCGGAATGGCCCGAGGAACCGAGAGCCCCTTCCGAACCCGAAACGGTCCTTCTTTCGGCGTCTTGACTGTACGAAGGCAGAGACACAAGAGGAAGATGAACATTCTGTTGGCGGGAGAGCGGATACCGATGGAGAGTGCGACAGCGAACAAGGTACGCACCTGCCCAGACGTTAGGAATCAGACTACACGGGCCGCGCATCAAAGAAAAACAACAAGACGAGAACGGAGCACATGACACCACGCCCGACCATATCGGATTCGACCGAACGCGCCCACGGTGGCCAGTGGGGAACACGCGACGCATTTACAGCTTACTTGTGGGTCCTAAAACGGTGCGATGACGGACCGTGCGGCGACCTCGAAATCCAAAGAGACCTCCCCGCACGGTCCATCACCACACGGCTTTAGAACCCTGGAGGTCCCAGCCGCCCGAGGCGCCCTCGGAGAGCGACCCTCATCCCAAAACCGTGCGGTCACCCCGAATCCGCACTGACTCACCGCACGGTGTGGCCACCGCACCATGTGGAGGCCCCCGATGCACCCTCGTCCTCGTCGTCATCAGCGTCAGCGTCGTCGTCGTGGCCACCGTTTATCGTCGTCGCCGTCATCGCCACCGTTCATCGTCGTCGTCGTCGTCGTCGTCGTCGACGTCAGGAGTACGCCTGGCCTGCATCGCAGGGTCGCCTCCGCGACCCCTGCCCTCTGCGTGCGCGCCGGAGTAGGCGGCGTCGCCCTGGGCCGGGCTGGGCCGGAGAGGGCCCTGCCAACCGTCCCCCCGGGGGCCCGTCGTCGCCGCCGGCCCCTCGCCGCTCCTCTTGGCCGCGGGCCTCTCCTCGCCCACGGGAGGCACAGGAAAGACTGTCTCCGTGACCCGAGGCTGATCGCGGAAACTCTGGCGTGGGTTGGGGTCGTCGTCCATCGTCCACTCGTGGCTCACCCCCTCGCGCAGGTCCAGCGGGAACAGAGAAGCTGCTGACGGCATCGGTCGCCCTCTCGGGAGGCCAGCCGAGACAAACGGGCGGCTCTTCATCTTGGGGAGGCCCAAACGTGCCGATACCGCTACTCCCCGGACCTCTCCTGGGGTGCGCTCTGACCAGGTTTCTGTTGGCGGCGAGCGCGGGGGGGAGGTGAGAAGGAGCGGGCCTTCTCAGAAGGCTCGGAAGTCCCCTGGCCTTCTGAGAAGTTTTCTAAGCCTTCCCCGAAGACACAGCAAACTTCTCAGAAGGCGCGAAGACTTCTGAGAAGCCCCGCCGCCTTCTGAGAAGGCCTTCTCCTTCTCACTTCCCCCCCCTGGCTCGCCGCCGATTCTGGGGCGAATGAAGCGGTGGCGACGAGGGCCTCCCAGGAGGCTCAACAAGGGCGAAACCGAGGGAAGGGTAGCTGTATGGATACCTTTTCCCTCCTCCGAGCTGCCCTCGAAGTCCCCCCCCGGACTCCCGGGCCCCTCTGGGCTCTCTGCGGGCCCCCTCCTCGACGCGGCAAGCAGCCTCCGGGAGGCCTCGAGAAAGGTTGCAGGCGCCAGGGCGGGCCGCCGCTGAGGGTGACGGCCAGCGTGGACCAGGACCTCGGTGGGCGTCGGCGAGGTCCCGCGGCACGTTGGTCATGGCCGTCTTGCTTCTTCCTCCCTGGACCCACTAGAGGACTCCTAATGGGGTCGGAGTAGACGGGGTCGGAGGGTCGCGCCGCATCGCCGATACATCGCCGATGCATCGGCGATGCATCGGCGACGCATCGGCGACGACGGTGATGCATCGGCGGCGTCGGCGTGGGGAAGCACGGGCTCCACATCGAGCCGCATCGTCGATGCGTCGGCGAGACGGCGCGATCCCCCGACCCCATCTACTCCGACACCATACAAGAGGCCTAGACCCACGACTCTCCTCCTTCCACCGGCTGGGCAACGGCCAACGAAGACAATCATATTACTGTACGTATGTGAGTGTGTGTATATATACATATATACATGTGTGAATACATACATGGCTAGCCAACGTGGACCCCACACAGTGAGTTCTTGCAACATCTGCGCTGCAATCTAGGAGGTGCAATCAGCGTGATGCAGTCTAGGTGGTGCATCCCATTTGGTGCAACCGATGTGATGCAAAGCAATGCAACGCAACGCCAGGAAAGACAATCCACATCAACGCACGGCAAAACAACGCAAGTGGATGCAAAGCAACACAAAGCAATACATAGCAGCGCAAAACAATGCAACAGCAATGCGATGCAAAACAACGCGGCGGCGGGCTGCGACGAGAAGGCCAGACCGGCACTGGGGCCAAGCAGCGACAGCGGCGACGGTTGGCGGCGGGTTGCAAAAGGCGACGGCGGCGACGGGCGCCGACGAGCTGGCCGAACCACCAGAAGAGCTCAGCTACCTTGCAAAACAAGTAAACTATCCCTGCTGTAAGCGATGATTGAATGATATATATATATATACACATAAAAAACATATTTTAAACCTACATCTACATATACAAATGCATCTACACATACAGAACCGTATACATACGCACACACATATACACATACATGTACACATACAGGTACACTTTACACACATATATATATATATATATGTACGTACACACACATATATATATATATATATATATATATATATATATTATATATATATTTATACATACATTGACATATGCATACGCGTATACATGTACATTGACATATACACGTGCATCTACCCTTTACACAAACCTATATATATACAGATATATATATATATCCAATTTAGAAACAAACTGGCAATGCATGAAACGCATGTTTCCCAGACGATGCTTGCATTTACGGTTTCTGTAATTGTGTTCCGAGGGCCTGGTCCATATCGTCGGTGTGGCGGCTATGTGGCCGCCGTCGCCCCGTGGCCGCCTCGTTGCAGCCCGTCGTCTGGGCCCTGTTATCGGTCTGGCGCCTGTGGCCGCCGTTGCCGCCCCGTCGCCGCTGACCTGGATTCCACAACGAAGATGTTCCGGTCTAAAAAATATATGTTCTACCCCCCCTCCCCACCCAGGACGTATCGATACCTGGGGAACCTATGCAAAAACACACACACACACACACGATTCTGACCCAATGCCCATCCGACCGCCGGACTCATACTATCCCAGCCAGGCCGGTATCGGTCCCCCCCGCACACTCGTGTATAAACAAATCACAAGTTTTCAAGACCCCCTTGCAACGAATGGGACAAAGTGCGCACGCGCGCGTCGTCGCGCGCGCATGCCGGAATCCTTCAACAAAGCCGTCGGTTTCACAATGATTTCGCAATCGAATGCCCAAAAACATACAAACACCGAAGGTTTCGCAACACGGATGTTCAACAAGAACGTGCGCACGCGCTTTTGCGAAGTCTTCCGAAAACCAATGTTTTCAAGATTTTCATAACGGACTTCGCGCGCGCGCATGTCGAAATCGTTCGAATGCCCTTGCGCGCGTGCTGGGGTGGCACGACCCACCATCGCGCGTCTGCCGCGCGCGGGTGTCGAATTCCGTCCAAAACCTTCATCGCCGACGCGAAGACGCCGTCATCGTCGTCGGCGTGATCAACATCGGCGCCGTTTTTGGCTGCTCCGTCGTTGCTGTCAGCATCGTCACCAGCACCGCTACTATAATCATCGTGTCTACCGCTGTCGACGTTGCCATGATACCGCGCCCGCCCAATTCGCACTGACATGCCCGCTGATATGCGCCGAGCGGTCAGCGCCACCGCGTTCGCGTCGGTCGGGCCAAATTAGCTGGCCGCTGCGCGCGCGAGCGTGCGCGGGTAGCGCGGACGCAGAGATGCACCAGCCAACACCCAGCACTCATCGCAATCGTTCCCGCATGGGTTTTGCAAAACAAGGTGCGGGTGGGTGGGTGGGATGATTGCGCGAGCAGTGGGGTTGGCAACTTCAAGTTCAGCAAGTGAATTGCACCGCGTAGATTGTGCAACATCTGCTACCCATTCCACAAGAGTATATTCCACCAGCCTTCCGAAAGCGGGCCTAACGCCCCCCAGGGGATTCGCAGCGCACGTAGAACTCCGACAATCAATGAAGTCGCGCGAACGCAGCCCAGCTGGCATCGACCCCCCCGCCCCCATGTTCTGCAACGCACATTGCGTGCGAACTCTGATTTGTCAGAGATCGCTGGCATCCCGACGCCTCTTACTACACAAACTGACATTGGACGAAGTGCACTTGCGCACGTGCCGAAATCCGGCCAACTCGTGCCAACACTCCAGGCTTCGCAATGGTTTCAACCTCGAATGCCCCGAAAACGCATAAACATACGAAGGGCTTTGCATCAATTCTTCCCCGAATACATGCGCTCGCGCCCTTTCGAAATCTTGCGAACATGACTGGTTTGCTCAAGTTTTCCGTCAAATTCGACGAGGCGCGCGCCCCGCGCGCGCGCAGCGCGCATGTCGAAGTCATTCGAACGCCTTCGGGCGCGCGCCAGGGGGGGGGGGGGGCGGGGGAACTTGACCCCTGTCAAAAATCACCGTGCGGGTCACTCGTTCCCGTCGGGCGCGCGCGCGTCGAAGTTCCTGTTTCCACGATCTGCATCCGCCAACGCGCGGGCGCCATCATCGTCATCGGTGTGATCAGCATCGGCGGCGTCGCTGGCCCTGCTGTCGTCAGCCGTCTTCGTCGTCGCAAGTATCGCTGCAATCATCTTCGGGTCTGCCGTCGATGACGTCGCCATGATGCCGCGCCCGCCCGAATCACCGACTCTCACTGAAGTGCCCTAGGATCGCGGGCGGTTGGTCCTGCTCGGCGGGGGCAGGTGCGCCTGCCCGGCGCGCGCAGCCCGCCTGCCCTAGTAGCGCAGCGATTGGGGTCCCTGGCTGATCGCGAATTCAGGCGAGCGCTGCGGTCTGGCCCGCCGCGGCGGCTGCGGCGGCAGCCGCCGCGCCCGCCGCGGCGGCGGCTGCAGGCGACAGCGCCGCGGCTCGAGCAACGGCGGCAGTGGCCGGGGAGGGGCGGCCGTGGCTGGCTGCGGCGGCGACTTCGGCTGCGCTCTTCGCTGGCTCACTGCAAGGGCCCCTCGGCTGGGCGCTCCGAGGCGTTCCTCCGAGGCCCCCTGTAGCGGGGCTGCTCCGCGCGAGCCCCGCTGCTCCGGGGGCGGCCCCGTCCGCGCGGGGCCCTTCGTGGGCTGGCTGCGCCCGATGCCTGGGGGTCCTTGTTGGGTCCGCCCCGCCAGGTGTTGGCCCGTCAGGGTCTCTGCTGCTGGTCGGGGCCGCGTCGGAGTGGCCCGGAGGGGGGGGGCCTTCCACGTCCATCGGGGAGGGGCCCACCTGCCCGGGGGCTCCGCTGGGCCGGCGTAGCTGAGGTTTGGCCCTGCGGTGTCGCGACTGTTAGCGGCGACCGCGTCGGGGGAGGCCGGGGGCAAGTCGTCGACCTCCATCGGGAATGGCTGTCCGCGCTGCTGTCCGATCCAGGGCGCGGGCGTCCGATGGCAGCGGGGGCTCGGGGTGCGCGGCTTCCCGCGGCGCCCCCCCCCCCCCCAGGGCAGTCGCGGGTCGCTGCTGCGGGGCGCTGCTGTGATCCGCGTTCTGAGTGGCTGCCAGGGCGGGGGCGGGGGCTCGAAGCCGCGCCGCTTCCCTCTGGCCTAACGGGCCCTGTGTCACTTTGGAAGACCGATGAGATCAAAACCCCGTTCCCTTCTGGCCTAACGGGCCCTGCTTCTCCTTGTGAGTCCGATGACAGAACCGCTGCGTCCCGTTTTCTGGCC